TATTTAATGAAAAGAGTATGAACATTTATTATACACATGATTAATTTATTGAAATTTCTCCAATTTATATGAACATTTCACATAATCATCATGAATAGTCATAGTGTATGTATGAACAAAAAATTAAATAGATGACAACTTTTTATTTGTGTTTACCTGTACAATTTTTTAATTAAAAACTATGAATTTAATTTGATATGAAAAATGTTACTACCATTGATGAATTTGACATTGTATGATTATGAACATTTAGTTTTTGTGTGATTAGGATTATATTACTTCACAGCTATTTTTTTCTTTTTGAATTTTCTTTCTAATCACGTTTTTGGCTTGGAAATATGATATATGATATTAAATGTGAAAAGAGGATTGACTAAATCAATATTATCCACATTTTAATTAATTATTTATTCCTTAAGTAGATTTCATCCAATGCACTATGTAGTGCGATATAAGAATTGTTGCTGAGGAGGCAAATACAGAGGTTTATTAAAATTTTTTAATAATCTCCTTAAATGGTCCTTTCCATTTCAAAATTACTGTTTCATATATAAATTTCAAAACTCAATATGAACTATTTTTTTAGGATAGGATAAATATAAAATAATAAGTAAAAATAAACCCAGTCCAAAAAGATGTAAGGAGGTGAAAAAATTAACAGAAACAGAAAAATCACCTCTTTCACATCCATGTTATCGAAAGTGAAGATCATCACCTTTTGTATGACACTTAGAACAAAGATTTACATATAGTATGTCTTGTCATTGTGGAAAAATGCCAACGGGGTACTACTCATCGGCATCTTCCACTCTATGGGTCAAACAACACTATCGTGGTCGTTTAATGTGATCGACGACCCTTGGTTACCGCTTGGAAAGAACATAATGGAAAAATGGTAATTTGAGTTCATTTTAGATTTGGACTTTGGAGCGCAAGTTTGTAAAAAATGAACGTACGCGGAGAGCAATCTAGAACCAACTAAAATTAAAAAAAAAATTAATAAGAAATTATTATAGTCAATTTACCATCCATGCATTTGGAACATTGATTAGGCTCTGTTTGGTTGTATAGAATTGGAATAGAATAAGAATTAAAATCTTATAAGTTAAAAATAAGATAATGAGATTTTAATTCAATCTAAATTCTTTATTTGGAAGGTGTAAAGAGTTGACTTGAAATTAAGGTATTTGATGAGAATCATGTATCTTCCTTGATGTGCATATAATTTATCTATTTTTAGTATTCCTTTACACGAGATTTTGCCATTACTTTGGATACATTTCTGTGATTTTATATGATTTAATCTTTGATTGTAGGAATGGTACTCAAATAAAAAATTGTCAAAGTTTAGAGCTAAATTGAAGATAAAGAGCAACTAAAAGGGCTCAAATGAAGCTCGGAAGAATGCATAAGGAAGGATAAAGAAGATTTAAAGATTTTGAGGATTCGACATGCAATTTGAGTGCTCATAATTTGGGCTGGCCGAAAGATCAAAATGGATTTGCATGGATGGAGAATTAATTGATTTTGGCCAGCTTTTGGAGCCCAAACTTAATAGACGTGGGCTAGTGATCAACACAAAGAAGTTTTGCAAAGAAAAATAAATTAATGTGAATTTTGGAGAAGTTCTTGGAAGCTTCTGCCGTTTCTTCGCCGAAAAGGAAGCCGAGAAGGAGCTTTGTGAAGGTGCTGCTTTGAAGAAGTTTAATTAATTTCCAAGAAAACTAAGGGTTTGGAAAAAAAATCTATAAAAAGCCTAAAAACCCCACGCCACAAGACCGAACCCGAAAAACCCTTCACCAAAACCCCATCAGCGGACTCCTCACCAAGAGCCCGGCGGCAGCCTCAAATCCCACACAACAATCACCTTATTCCACCCTCATCAATCACGCACCATCGTCAGGGAAAGAAGTCAGCACCAACGAAGCCAATCCAAGCTTTTGGAATCAGCCTTTGCGACTCGTCTTTGTCCCGGGTTTCATTGTTTTATTTATTTTTGAGATGATGTGTAGTTAAATTATTTAATCTAGAGTTTTGGATGTAGTCGCTGTACTATTTAATTTAATTTAATTCATGATTGTGACTATTTCATTAGTTGATATTTAATATTCTTATTTTTATTCCATGTGAGTATTTGATCACTACTTGCATGCTCTAAAGGTGTTTAACTGAAGGAACGACGGTTGAAGGTAAGACTAGTTCGTGGGAATATTAAACTTAGATAATGGGCCACGAAAGTAGGAACACCGTCTTTACAGCTATAGATTCTAGGGTTCTTAATGTATTCTAATTAAATCCTATAGTTACGACAGTAGTCATAGGGTTAGTTTCAGTAAGAGAATTATATTACGAAAGTGAATAGTTCTTAAATAGACGAATCGTTGTGAGATTAACGAAAGTCCAAAGTTACATATCTATAGGTTGAGTTAAACTGAGTAGTTGGTAGGTGAAACCCTTTGCCCTAGGTTTTTCTTTTACTTATTTATATCTTTAAATAATTGTAATTGTTAGTTTTAGGTTTAGAATAGTTTAAAATTGATAAATTGTTAATCTAAATAATAATAAGAAATTATTTTAACCAGTACTTGGTAATTTTCTGTGTGGGATCGACCCTGTTTTCTGTTTTACTACTAATAATTGTATTAAATAGGTAATTAATATTTGACTAGTGTGATGACGGCTTATCATTCCTGTCGGAGTTCTTTAAGGATAAAAGAGAAGAAGGTGTTTTTATCCATTGGAGGTCTTGGATTATTTCCATTCAATAAGACCAGTAAATTTGTAATCACAAGTTGGCCTTCTAAGAAAGGAAAAAAACTTTAATTATCTAGTGGAGACAATGGGAACGAATCACTAGGTAGGTAAAATAAAGATTATTTTTTATTCAGTTTTCAATGCAGAACTTTACAACTGTTTCAACTTGACGAGGTACAAAATGAACTTTAACAGCAGCAAAATTAGATACTAGTAACTTTTAAACCGCGTGCCGGCTGTTAAAAGAAAAAAAAAGATCTGACTTTAGTATACGATGGGGAAATAAGCCAGAGAAAGGAAACCCATCTTCATCAGAATTATCATTGGCACTAAAAGATGAAATATCATAGAATTTCTTTCAAAAGAAAAAAAAAAAAAGCCAAAGCTTGCAAAACAGAACAAATAAATAAAGAAGGTATCATCTCAGACTACGATATCGAATGGGACAGCGATTACTATACTAGCTACAAGGCTACAATAATGCATCAAATGTCAACGTCGTATTAGTGATTTGCTTGATTGATGAAATTATGAAAACATAAAAAATAATTGTAAACTTATAAAAACTAATTTCCACACTCTACCTAAGATAATTCAAAGGAAATCAGATCCATCCGGACGTCATCAAATCTACAACGCTTTGATAAAGTTTAAGGGGCGGTCATGACGTGACCCAAAATAAATCTCTTTTGGTCTCATTTGACCAGAAACACTTGGCTATGGTGAATTTCTGTCATCAATCAGAAGAATAAAATACGATTTGGTGTAAATCTCGAAATTTTGATGATATTGATATTATGCATTAATTTGTCAGAATATCGATTTCTTAATAGTGTACTATGTTGTTTGTAGTCGCACGTTGCGACCAATTTTTATATAAATCGTAAGTTTTTAAAAGAAATAGCAATAAAAAAAATACAAAATAATTGGATAACAAAGAAGATTTTTATTTCTTTTTTGCTGTAAATATAAGTAATTAAATAAATAGTAACTATGATCGATTACAAAAACCATAAAAAAATAAGTTCTAGAATAATGATTATGGTTTGTATTATCGTCCAAAAAGGATGACATAAAATTAATCTACCATACGCCTGGCGGTATAGTTCTTGTTGTGAAAACCATTGTCGTATTATCGCCAATAAACCATTGTTCAGTATCTTATTACGCATCATGGGTCGATAAATTTATTAAAAAAATAAGAATTAATTTTTTCTAGCTTTCTCTTCCATTACGCATAAGGCCTCGATAAATTGATTAAAAGATTATTTTAAATGATTTGATTTATCATGAAGTTTATTATATGTTGTTCAGAGACCTCCAATTGCATCACAGAGAATCTATAACTGGAATAAATTTTCTTACAATCCTGAGCTAGCAGAACGTAAGCGAGAGATAGTATAAAAATAAACGGAAATTTCCAGCAACAATAACAGTATAACCAATCCCAAAGTCGAGGCATTTTATACTTGCTACACATTTTGAAGGCATTTTATACTTACTACACATTTTATACTTACTTTTTGAAAGCACCCAAGTCGTTCAAGGCAAATAACGGGAGATAATAAAACAAAACAAAATCCTCCAAAAGCACACAAATTAAAAACCGAACCGGTGTCATTAGAGGGTCCTTGGGTTAACCTCGTTAGCTCGGAACAAAAAACTGGATGATGTCATCAAAAGGTCAAAAATACATATTTATTATGAATATATAAATAATAATATAAAATATTTATTAAGTAAAAAAATCAAGTTCAAAAAAATTACAAAGGAATGAATAGTTGAAAATTCTATTGTTGATTTACTACTATTATTACTTAATAGTACACAAGAGAGAGAAAAAAAAACTAAAAGAACACAAAAAATTTTCACAATAAAAATATTTAAAAAAAATTAACTCTAAAAAACAAAACTGGATGATGGGGATTGGATTTGGGGGGTGGTGACAGGCGTTGGGCAGCAAATCAGAAAAACAGGAAAAAATACGCAGTTTTTGGGGGAAAAAGTAAAGAAAATTAAATAAATAAAAAAAAATAAAAATGAAACCCAGGTCAACCAGTTCATACCGGTTTACAGTCCAACCGCCAATTTTAACCGAATTTAACCAGTTAACTATTGTATCAGATATTGTCCCTGATCGGACGGCTTTACAAAGCGGTTTGCAGTTGAAGCGGTCGGACCGGCCGGTCCGGTCCGGGTCTAACAACACTGGTATTACAATGAAAAATTAAACAACCCCCCCAAAAAAAAAAACAAAAAAAAGGTCGGAATTTATACATATTGTGTATATGATGAAATTATGCACCCATGGTTTGAGACTTAATAAGATGGATGAAGGACTTTGATAAGGTTCTCCAAATTAGAGGACGAAGAACCAGTACTTTTTGCTGCTTGTTCAGCCTTATTCTTCCAATCCAAGCTCTTTTTCTTCATCTCTTTACCTTTCTCTCCGACCATTAACTCTCTCACAAGATTCTCAACCTCATCCCTCTTTACATTATTATCAATCTCCATTCCAATCCCCCATTGAGTATCACAAGCCCAACAATTTGTTTGTTGTTCGGCAAAAAACGGCCAACAAATCATCGGCACACCATTGCTAATACTTTCGAGGGTCGAATTCCATCCACTGTGAGTTAAAAACCCTCCAACAGAAGGATGGGTAAGAACTTTTTCTTGAGGGCACCAACTTGCCAATAACCCTCTCCCCTTAATTTCCTCCGAAAATTCAGGAGGAAGAACTGCGGAATCGCCCGAGACGAGATCCGGCCTAATAATCCACAAAAATGGTATTTGACTGTTTGCAAGTCCCCATGCAAACTCCACAAGTTGGTCAGAAGTCATAACCGTGATGCTTCCAAAGTTTACATAAACAACCGATTTAGGATCCTTCTTGTCAAGCCATTCCAGGCATTCAGGCTCTTCTTTCCAGAGATTTGAACCTAAAGCGGCTAATTTATCATCATCCACTTGTTTTTCTAGCAGATTTAGCGGCCCAATGGTGCAAATAGGAGGAAGAAGGGTTGAAAGAGGACCAAGAAAGTCTTTCTCAAGTTCGTCGTAGGTGTTCAAAATCATTGCAGAAGCCTTATGGGCTCTCCCGGTTTCTTGGAGAACGAATTTTATCATGTACTCATCTGGATCCGTACTTCTAACAAAACTTGGAATATCCCTTAGCCGTATGTTTTTCATTCCCGGAACCCAATCCAACACTTGGTCAAGATATCCATTTGTCAAATAACTTGAATCTATGATTCAAACAAACAAAAAGAAAAGGTAGATAAGTCCATCGATAGTTAAAATAAACCTATAAGGTTGTGTGTATGGTAAAAAAAAAAAAACCTTATACTATTTCAGTCCTGAAATAGTTATAGTAAAAGTGACAAATTCAAATTACTCTAAGAATTATTTTAGCACAGATGAAAAATTAATTAGCGATTTATTAACCCAAAAAAACTAAAGAAAGGGTCACATGGATCTAGCAGATGGCCATGGTACTACATTTCAAGACTACACGGATTTAAAGAACTTCCATCCCAAGTAGTACTAAAAGTCAATCCAATTTGGGAGGGAGGGAATAATATTTTTTAAAAATTATACTACAATACTATTTTCTTTCTTGTCCACTACGTATACTGTATAATAAGCTAACGTTTACGCCTCGTCTATTGGTTCTAGTCTAGGTAAAAACAAACAACACACAAATAAAATAAAGAAGTCATAAATCAAAGCTTTGACGTGGTTAATGAATTACCTTTGAGTGGCGTGAGACCCTTCTCAACGATCTTAGAATACTGCCAATAACCCAAGTATCCACAAGCACTTGTGGTCCAAAACAACGCCTCGGGGATTCCAAACTCCTCGGCAGCATCGAGGGTGAAGCTCATGGCCCCATCAGAAACGATGCAAGAAACTGGCGGTAAGGACGAAACGGCGGCGTCGCGATTCAGTTCTGCGATGAGCTCCTTAAAGGGACCAATGCAATTGGTGGTAGTGGATTTACAAAGGGCCGGGACATCTTGAGTTGCATCGACGTTCGATGGGGGAAGCCCATCTGGGATGGTTTTGAATTGGAATGAAGGCAACCCGTTTAAGGCATCTGGGCCTCTGGATTTGAGTAAGCGCTTGTGGTTGAATTCGGTGTTGACAAAAGTGATGTGGAAACCTTTGTGATGAAGCACTTTGGCTAGTTTCAGCATCGGGTTTATGTGACCCTGTGCTGGATATGGGATGCAAACTGCATGGGGTTTTTCTTTTGGCACAGAAATGGATCCCATTTTTTTTCCCCTCTTTTTCTTTTCGCCCCTTTACTCTCTCTTTCCCATTAAATGATACTCTATGAATTCTGGGAGATGTGGGATGCTTGATGTTAAAAGTTTAGAGCCATATTTATAGTTCAAAACTTACTTATTACTGCTAGTCTTTTGTTTATAAAAAGTCAGTACATACATATGTATTCGTATATAATAAACATAATAATCTTAGTTTGGAAATTGAACAACAACTTATTAGTTAGGATGTTATGCTTTTTGTTATTAGATCTGTCTTTAATTCTCAACAAACTGGTATATAAGGAGAGTTCTACTCACATTTAATGAGGGTCCATTGAGATAGTTTTAAATATATATGTATATAAAATTAATTAGAATGATTATTTTAGAACATTTGGATCGAGGCCTATATGTTATTCTCTATTTATAGGTTTATTTACTCTTTCAAAACATTTTAATTGGTTGAATCATGAGACGACCCGATGTACAATTGATTCAATTCATTGGTTCTTGAAATAATCGTCTGCACACAAATATATAGTATTATAAATTATATATAGTGGATCGAGTAGATCGATGATTGACCAAAATTAAGTTAATTGCCACATGATATGCTCTATTATTCTACTAGCCTGAGAGACGACAATTTTCGTATGATCTGTGCTTCACATGGAAATCCGATATGCCAGAACACAGAACATTAGTTTTGTGAAATTCTTTATATATGTGGTTTGCACTTATTTTGTACTAATTGAGTTGCACTAAGAAAAACTAGACTTTAATTTTTAAATTATTATGAAATATTTGATTTGATTTAATTGAATATCCACAATTAATATATATTATTTTATTCACAATCAAAGATATATGATTATGTAATATTTAGTATTAATGATAGGTGATTCATTTCTCACAGTTTGATCCCTTATTTCTTGTATAAATAGGTAGCTCATTCACGCTTCAAATGACATCTGAATACAAGTCTCTTATCTTTCTCTACTCTCTTGTCTCTTCTCTTTGTTTTTATGCTTATGCTTAGTTTCATATTAGTAATTTATCATTAATTTTATAATACATTATCAACACAAGTCTCTATTTATAACTGAGACGGTCAAAGAAGTGGACGCAATGATTAGGCGAAAAGAGTTCTATCGAGGCTCATCCAATTAAATTTCACGATAAGGTTGGTACGTTCAGTAAGCCAGATTTATAATTTGATTTTTGTGTAAAATTTTTTTAGTGCTTCGTTGTATAGTACTATGGGCTTATTCATAATTGCTCTGCAAGTTTGGCCACCAGTTTATCAAGGTTGCCAAAGTGTTCCTTGCTCCAGCTGTGAAGGCTGATGAGACTTGATTTCAGTTGGTAGGAAAACTTTTCCTGTTGATTACTAATATGTAAAGTACCCTGGGTCCAAGCACTCTGAACTAGGTCTTTGGATCTAGGGCATTTGGACCAGAATTTCTCGAATTTTTTACGCCTCCTAGGTTTTTGCTTCTTGTCTTTGAGTTGTACAAGTATTGGTGCATGATCAGAGATCATAATTGGCAGATTTTGAATAACTGCTTTATGAAAGCAAGTTAGCCACTGGCGATTGACAAAAACTCTAACCTTTCAAAAATGGAATCCTGAGTTCATCTCTTGTTAGTCCAATTATACTAACATCCTGTGTGAGCAAGTTCTTCCAAGTCATTCTGAGTTAGGAACTGTTGGATTAGCCTTGTGTCCTAATCCCTCACTAATCTTCCACCACTCTTGTCTCCTGGCTGGTGACTTGATTAAAATCACCTAGAACTATCATTGGGTAGTTTAAATTGCTGAGGCTGGTATTGAGTTGTGTCCAAAATTCAGCTCTATCTTGACGAGAAGGCATGCCATATAGAAAAACACTTATCCATTCAGCACCAAAGAGTTCCTTGACCCTTGCTACTACTACATTTGGATTGTGCAGTACTACACAAAGTCGCACTCCATCTAACCCAAATAAAGGCAGACCACCACTAGATCCTACCAGATCAATTACAAAAGAGTTCCTAAAAGAGGTGGTCTGCTGCCATACATCTATAACACTAGATTTTTCCATAGTTTCCACTAAAAACAAAATATAAGGTTTATAATGCCTACATAATCTACTAATACAATGCTTCATAGAGACATTGTTAATGCCTCTACAGTTCTATGATAATATACTCATAGAAACAGAGGCGGTGGATCTGGTACAACCACCACAAAACCTTTTATAGATTCTATATCACTCTCGAAAGAATGCACATTCAAGTTGGAGTTTAGATAATGTACCTGACTGGTTGGGTCTACCAACATGAATTCGTTGCAGGTTGAAACCTTCATTTGTGGCCCAAGCTTCCCCATGAGGAATGGTTCCACCCCCAGTCAAAGATTGTTTTGTTCAGAGGTTGTGGTGCCCAAACCTGTCTCAACATCCTCTTTTTACAAGCCTGTGGTATCTAGTCGACCTTTGTCTCGGCCTTTCTTTTGTTGTGTGAGTCCACGGTATTCTTCTCTCTGGTTATGGAGTGACTGATTGAACTTGTATTACTAAATTCTTCCCAATTCTCCGAATTTTTCCAACCAGCTAGTGCCTGATTTTTTAAATTTCACCCTCAGAACTAACCTGAAAAACTTCCTTCACTGCCACCATGCATTTGTATCAACTCCATAAGTAGTAATCCTGCTAAGGATTGGGGAAACCTCAGTGAATTGAGCATCTTCACCTTGCTTAGAGACCTCATTATGCATCGACTAAACAGCGTAAACATTGGATGTACTCTCTGAATTGATATTGTTGATCAGCTTAGATTCCACAACTTGCCAATTTGTTTCTATATTTGGAACCACAACAATAACATCAGTTTCCATTTCCATATCTAAATTCACCCTTCTCCAAACCTGCAAAATTCTTGGCTCATTTGATTTGCCATTGTGCGCCCAACCATAAACATAGCTTTGCAAGACCGGACTCCTGAGTGATGTTTGCAATCAACTTTGACAAGTATGACAGTGGCACTCTATTCTGTGAGTCCTAATTTATGATTTCTAATCACAGGGAGGGCATGTCGACAAAACAATAGTGATACTCAGAACATATTGTACTTGTCTTACAGATGATTTGTGCGGTGAAGCAAGCATAAGAGTAGAAGAGATAAAAGTCTCCTGATCAAGGTCACTTTTTTTCATTTTGAGCAGCTCAACACACAACACTGCTTTGGGGATAGCCTTTGTGCATACCTTAAATAATTGTGAACTCTACCCTTCAAAGCAACCCGAATTTCATTGGTGAAAATTGACGAAACCCTCATTGGGATGTACTCCCCTTCCTTATTATATTTGTCCTAATTTTTATCTAAGATATCTTTTTAATTGAAAGAAAAAACCTTAAACATTTCTTAATAATTCGGAGAACGGGACGAATGTGAAAATATATTTTTAAGATTTTTTTAATTAAAAATACATTATAAATGAAACTTAACACAAAATCAAAATGTCTTATAATAAGGACCGGAGAGATTACTATTAATTCATATTATGAGAATACCATTTGTCAGGATATTCCACAGGGACCTTACCTTGTCTGGCCGTCCATGATTCCAGGCCACATAAAATCCTTTATAATATTCATTTCCTACTAATTTAAACCATAACTTATTATTAAAATCAGTTGTTCCATATTTAGCGAATTTAAAATTAATTAAAATAATTGCATACCTTTTTTAATGACTACTAAAAAAAAAGTAAACTCTTTTAAACAAATAATTACACAAAGTTACATGATTTTATTGGACAAAACCACGGTCAGGAACAACTCATTTTCTCACACTACAAGAAAAATGGCTTTTGGCGACACACAATGTATGCCGCGAAAAGTAGCAAAAGTGCCGCGAATAACATATTGCGACAGAAATTACGGCATATCACAAAGTGACGCGATAAGTGCGGTCGCAAATATTTGCGACACTTAAAAACAAGTGTGTCACGACATATGCGACACTTATGCGTCAATATAAACACGTCGCATTAAATTCGCGACACATCTTGTGTCGTTTTTTATTCCATGTCGCGATATGATTGCGACATTTTGTTTGCGTCGATTGAGTACTGACGCTTATTGATGCGACATATTTAGCGTCACCTTTTGAATGTGCATCAAAGTTCCGCGACGCAAATTTGAAAAAGTCACATAATTTTAGTGACACAACTCTTTAAATGTTGCATGTTTACTGCGGCAAAATATTTATGTTAGTAACTAAAGTGCCACAGAAAATAATTTGCGACACAAGTTTTGATGTCATAATTAGATGTCATGCGGCACAAAAAATATGTCGCATTTTTTGAGGCATTATTTGGGGTATTGTTTTGCATATCTTTTATTATTTTATGCTGATATATAATGTATTGTACAACTATTTTTTTGAATTGCATTACAGCCCTTATTTTGGAATAGCATTTATTTTTTACAACATTTAAAGTGTTTGTGGAACCCAATAAAAATAAGCATAATATTATTGTCGAATCAATTTTTAAGAGCAAAATAGAAATTCGCTAAAAGAAAAAAAGATTAGCATCCCATACAAACTTAAATGGAAAGCAACTAAGTCCATAAAAATTAAAATCCCACAAAAAGTACATATCGTCATTACAAAATGTTCTTTCAATTCAAACATAGAAACCTAGCAGATTTTTGAAAGCTTCATCATCATGTAACCTTTTGAATTTCCTGCAAAAACAAACCAAAAAAATGAGAGAAAAACAAACTAATTTGTATTTATCACAAAATCGCATGCTTGTTTTTGTTTTTGTTCGGCAAGAAATTAATAGTAGTTACCTTATCATGTAGCTAGGCGCTTGGAGACCCTTCTAGCTTTCTTACGTTCCTATTAAATTTCAAAAATATGAGCTCATTTAGACACATATAATGATGAAAAACTTGAAAAAACAAAAATTGTTTCCGAAAAGCTAAAAATGTATGTTACCTTAGTGGAAGTAGCATCTGAACAAATCAATGGAGGATTATCATCTTTAGATTGATTTATCTCTTTGCTCACCTAATCAAAAGATAAAAAAAATGTAATGAAGAATAAAATAATTTATAATTGATTTATAATTGAATGTAATACAACTTTTCATTAACGTACCTTAGTAGATTGATTTGTTTGGCCATTATTTGATGAGTTTCCTAATCCATGCAAAGGTTCATTCAAAGCAATTTGGTGCTGGGAATTAGAAGACTCTTGTACCTAAGACATTTTTATGTCGCAAAGGTAAATACAATATAATTTTTCTTGTAATAATTTTTGTAAAGTGAACTCAAACCTGGGTATTTGACTGCCAAAGCTAGAAGATTGATCCTGCATCATTGTTTTCATTTCGGCAAGCCAATCATCTTTCATTTTGGATAATCTTTCATCCATCTCATTCTGCAATTTAATCTCCAAATTGTGTTGAATGCTTGCAACTCTCTCATCAACTGCTCGATCAAATTCTTGTTGAGAGGTGAACACTTTCTTACTTTTTGAAACAATCTTACAGCTGCGTAGGCATCCTGGAGCATCTTTTCTAATGACGTCTTCAAAAATTTTATTATTAGCCTCAATATCATCTTGCAACTCAGGTGGCAATTGTTGCTTCAACGCCTTTAAGGTGGCCTGATATTTCATAAAGATATAAAACAAAATTATGTAAGAAACGGTAATAATTATGAAAAAGATTGAGAATAATGAATAAGTATGGAGCATTTCATTGGTTAATCACTTCTACTTCAGATACTTACTATTTTTTGAGAAGTAAACTCGTCCAATGGTTGTCCTTTTTTTCCTTCTCTTGATTGGATGAATACGTCTATCGTGGATGGTTTTTTCCCATTATTTTGACAAATCTAACAATGAATTCAGATTAAAAGCAAGTTAAGAAAGTATCATAACCAAAAATTAACTTTAATAATAGAAGTATGGAAAGATCATACCTGATTTTGAAGATTATAGGTATCCGTTCTCCCTGTCTATGTGGCATTTGCAAGTCTTTCCGGTTCCTTTTATTTCTATTGCTAATTTTCTACAATTCAATAAAACAAGAGGATGAAGTTTATGTATATAGTTCCCAGATTCAATATAAATCTACATATATATAAAAACATGAAAAATTCAGTACGTCATACTAACCCTTGCTCTCTTGGAAAGCCAATAGTTAACCAATGCAGGCCATTGATCCTCTTCAATTCTTCCTGGACGATTAGCTAGTAAGTAGGTTTTGTCTCGCCTGTGTGGGCGAAAGTACTTTTCTTTTGTTCTCATTTTAAAATCCTTCCAAAGCTTGCCAACCCTCCGCAAACATGTCTTCTTATAAACATCGGTAAGATTTGTGTTCTCCTAGAATGACAACATTACATTTACCATAAAATTGTAATTAAATATAGTGGAAGATATATACATCAAAGTTATATATTGATCTCGAAGTCATATATAGATAAACAAATGCTTGAAAATGGCCACATTACTTAAGAATTTAAAACAAAGTAACTTAAATCCGACATAATACCTTCACTTCAGCCCACACATCATCTTTCATTGGCTTAGGCAATGCACGCCAATCTGTGTAAATGAGGGGTAACTTGTTTCCTTCTTTAGCTAAAACCCCCAATTGAGTCGCAAATTCAGCAGCCATGCTTCCAACCACTTGGTTATCATCATTAAGTTCCAATATCATTTTCTCACCGGTTCCCCATCGAAATCCCTGCCTTGTTGGACCTCTTCCAATTGTATCTATCAATCATATAAAATACATCTAAGAAAACATATATATAGGTGTATAAAATATTAACTATTTTTAATATACAACGAACATAACGTTTTTGGGAGAGATAGTATTTTTCAAATTTATTTAGAAACACATACCTTCTTCTAGTGGATCATTGTTGTTAGCATTTTGCTCATCATCACTATCATCTTCAAATGATTCAGAGGTGTGCAAAGATTCAGAATCAGTAGATGAAGAAGAATTGAGAGAGTTAGAACAATTGGAGTTATTTTCTTGGTTATGAGATCTACTTGTTGCTGGCTCATTTAATAGATCAAGCATTGATCCAATTGCACATTGAGATTTCTTTCTGGATGACACCATTTTGACTGCAAATAATAGAACGGATATTTTAAATCATACACCAAAATAAGCAAATATTTATCAACTATAAAAAAAAATTACCACAAAACATAATTGTACTATATTGGTTTCCCAATGATGTAAAATGCCTAACTCATTGAGCAACTTGCATCCACGTGGGTAGCGAGACTCTATACATTCTCATGAGTAAAAGAACCCAGCAGGCAAAATCCAGGTAGAGATGGCTAAAGTTTAAAACAACAATAGCTAAAGTTTCACTTGTATTGTGAATTTCGTATGTCAACACCTTGTGACGATTTATGCTTGCTAGTAAAAAAAAAAATCAATTTTCAATAACAAGGAAGCAAATAGGACATATGATAATATCCAAAAGTCACAAACCACAATGATTATACAACCCTAAAACAAGTATTGAAAAAGAACATGAAAATTCGGATCTCTACATATATAAATCAATACGATTACCTTACACAAACAGAAAAATTTTTCCCCAAATAGATCGGAGCACTCTTTCCCGGAGTCAGAAAACTTAGAATGGCATGGATACACTTGTAGAAATAATTCCCTGGAACAATCAAATGAAGAAAGGATCTTTGTACTTTAAAATATATAGATGAGAAGTATAAAGTAGAAAATCCCCCGTGATAATTTTCTTGTATTCCCGCTTATTGATTTGTCTTGTTAATTTCCTTCATTACACTAATATCGATCTTTCTTAAAGCTGGTGGGTGAGTTTTTTAACCAGTGAAATTAATATTGAATGCTTTGTAGGCGCCTTGTCTCTTTGATATGAGTGCTTATAATGAATTGGAAGTTCAAGCAAAGTAATAGTTGTCTTGTAATTCAAGGAAATATTAATAGATTTAGCGGGAAAGCTAAGCGGGAATGTAGACAAAAAAGAATTGAATTAAAATCCTTTGACTTGTTAATTACTTGGCTACAATTATTGAGTCCCGCAGTTGCATACTACACTTTTCATATATTTCTTTATTGAATGAAAATCACTCTACATTTGTCAAAACTTAACTAATTTCAAGGGCGGTCCAACTTGTTTTTATGACAATTTGAAATGTGGCGAACAAGTCCCTTATTTTAATTATTTGACAATAGTAACTAATTGATGATTATTAACAAAAGTAACTATCCACCGTCAAATATAATTTCAAATACATTGTTGACAATAGTAATTATCCATTGCTAGTAACTTGCATATCCTAACTATAAATTGTCTTTATTTTTAGTTTTTCTTTAATCATATAAAGACTGTCAGCATATCTTTGATGTACTAGACGCGTATTATCTGTCGGTAAATCTTGATCTAGTAGGCGTTAGTATTCTGTCAATAGATCTCATTCTATTGATCGTTATTTAGTTCCTTTTTTGATTGTGTGTGATCTTTAGTTTATAGTTTTGTCCATGATTGTATTGTTGTGGTTCATAGTCATGGTTTATGTTTAAGAATATGAAATCAAAGTAGATCTATATTTTAGATATGCTTTTTGGAGCCTTCATCTGATGATAAATGAAGCATTCGAGATCGGATTTTTTCTTTGGTACGTGATGCTTCCAATAAATATTTGCGGATGCTATGGAAAAGTTAGTGATTTGATCGTCTGCAGTAAAGATGATCAGTTGATTCTTGGATATAGAATTTTACTTGATCGTAGTATGTTAGTGATTGTAATTCTCTATCAATCCTGGTTAGACGTTTTCCAACAAAGTTAATAGAAGTTTCTTTTATCTAAAAATTACTCCCCTTGTCCCAAAAATTACTATCTCAAAATCGTTGTTAGTAATTATTATTATTATTTTCTTACTACCCCTGTCCCAAAATTACTATTCAGTTTGGATTTCACTTTTAATTCAATTTGTACTAAAACTGAAAATCCAAACTTAAAAATAATTTTTGAAAATCCAGACTATACAAAAGGAGTAATAAGTATTAATAATTTACAGTCTAAGAAATATTTGTACTTTGTAGTTATTATTTTAATTTTTTTTATTTGAAGTAATTATTAATTATGGTCTTATCGAAAGTCTAGGACTATCAAAATAAATTAGGTTCAAGTTGACGGATTGGGTTGATTTTTTTTTTTTTATCTTACGCGAAGCCTAAAAGGTTTAATTATATCTAAGTGAAGATCTTTATTCCTTACTTCACCTTTTCATTAATTAGATTATAGTAAATGTGTAATTTAACATTTATCTTGGTATGAAAAAATTAGAATCTGTTTGATTAAAAAAATTTACTCAGTGAAACACCATAATCACTAAGTGTTGTTCAATTCCCCTCCGTTTGAAATTTTAAAAGACAAGAAAATAAAAGTGTTTTTAAGTTTTATTCCCTTCATTTAAAAAAGGAAACATGACAAAAAGTAAACAAATATATAAAAAGAGAGTAGTATTCATATCTCAAATATAGCCAAATTAATGAGGGATCATCACATCAAAATACAACACCCAAATTATTAGAGATAATGGCAAATCTTTCTTTCCCCTGTCCCTCGAGTATTTTTTTAAAGCTATTTGGAAAAATGAAGAAAAAGAAAGAGAACACACATAAAAGAAAGATTGATTGCAGGAGACATTATATAAAATGGGGATCATTATGGTTCACGGTTATTAAGAAATACAAAATAAGAAATAAAAAATAATACTAAAGGAAAGTAAATGCCCCAAATTATCATTTGTCCACTCACATATTCTCTTCCTCTTTTTCTTTTTCTTTTTTTTTTCCCCTTTTACTAACACCTACAAACTAAAAAGACGCACTAAACACCACCCCAACATCAAAACTGGTTTTTCTCCAGAAACCCGCTCACCTCACCGAAGCTCAACCGATCCAAATTAAACCCGTCGACGCGCGACCACCGCCTGTCACCTGCCCACCCGCCGGTTTCCATCTTTCATCTCACCATAATTGATGTTCTAACCCGTAATCCATTGTATTTGGTAAATAATTTGCTGGCTCGATGAATTGTTACGACGCAAAGAAGGTAATCCGATCCATTTCTTTTGCATGCTTGCCAATTTATCAAATCCACTTGATATAATTGTTTGAGGGGTGATTTTTACTTGAATGGAGTCTTTTGATTAGAAAAATTACATCATAATCATTTTCGAATTTACTTGAATGGGCACACCATTTGCTGCAATCTTTCAATTTTTTATTCTGGAAAATAGGAAGCAAAGGTATCATTTTTCTTACAGTACAGTAAAGCAACGCTGATATCTTAAACCACTTTCGGTTATGTAGCCCCTTCCTTCACATTTTGTGCATTTCAAGTACTTATTTCCCCTCATGTTTGGGGAGTCATGGCTATTAATTTTCTGCAGCTTAGATGAGGCACTACTTCGATATAAATTGAGTTTATTGATTGATTTTTTGTATTTTTCTGAACTAGAATGTGTGTTTAGTCTCTTTGATTTTTTAACCTTTTTATTTGCGCTTTTGGGTCTGAAGGCTATTTTGGTTTGCCCAAACTTTAATACCAAGGCTTCAAAGATTTTTTATGTCTTCAAAAACTGCTTCTTTGATGAGATGGCATGCAGAAGAACGCATTGATGATGGAAAACTTCGGCATCCAGCTGACTCTCGAGCATGGAAAAGTTTTGATGAAAAGAACCCAAGTTTTGCGGCTGATTGTCGCAATGTACGACTAGGACTTGCTGCTGATGGGTTCAACCCATTCAAATCAATGAGTATTGCTCATAGCACTTGGGCGGTTGTTCTGATTCCCTATAATCTTCCACCATGGCAATGTATGAAACAACCTTCATTCATATTATCCACACTCATTGATGGTCCTCGAGCTCCGGAAACGACATTGATGTGTATTTGCAGCCGCTCATTGATGAACTTCAAGAATTATGGAGTCCTGGGGTTCCAACATATGATGCAATAGAAAAATGCATGTTTCAGCTACGCGCAGCACCACTTTGGACAATAAATGACTTTCCAGCTTATGGAAACCTTTCTGGTTGGAGTACAAAAGGTGTGTATGCATGTCCTTGTTGCAATAAAAATCCACAGTCTCGTTGGTTGAAAAATGGGAACAAACATTGTTATATTGGTCATCGTCGTTTTCTTCCAATCAAGCACAAGTATCGCAAAGATTTACTGCATTTTGATGGCTCTGTGGAGAAATCTCCTAAGCCGCAAAGATTATCTGGCTCAGAAATTTTGGAGCAGTTAGATGGGATGGTGAATATATTTGGAAAATTACCATCAACTGTTGGGGGGAAAAGGAGAAAGAGAGTGAAAGTGCATGGTGATGCAACATCAATAAGTCGGTATAATTGGAAGAAGTTGAGCATATTCTTTCAATTACCTTATTGGCAAGAAAACATTATCCACCACAATCTTGATATTATGCACATTGAGAAAAACTTTTTGGAAAATCTCTTGTGGACATTGCTTGGTGTCAAAGGTAAAACCAAGGATAATGTTAAGTCACGATTGGATCTTCAAGAATTTGGGATTAGAAAAGCACTTCATCCTCAGAGGAAAGGAGATAAGTTTTATCTGCCCCCAGCTTCTTTCACCATGAGTAAAGATGAGAAAGATGTGTTTTTGAAAGTATTAAAGAATGTAAAGGTCCCTGATGGGTATGCTTCTAATATCTCAAATTGTGTTAATCTTGAGGAGCGAAATATCTCTGGTTTGAAGAGTCATGATTGTCATATATTGATGCAACAGTTGTTACCAATTGCTTTGAGGAGATCGGTGCCTAAACATGTTTGCAGTGCCATAGTTAATTTGTGTGATATTTTTAAACAGTTGTACTCGAAAGTTCACTCTGTGTCTGATTTTGAATGTTTGGAGGATCGAATTGCATTAGCACTTTGTGAATTAGAGAAGATATTTCCGCCTTCATTTTTTGACGTTATGGAGCATTTGCCTGTTCACTTAGCTGAAGAAGCTAAATTTGCTGGTCCTGTTCATTTTCGTTCTATGTACCCTATAGAGAGGTATCTTATCTCATTATCTATATTTTATA